TTCCCATCTGCTGCAGGAGGAAATCTTTTATAATGACTGAGCAAGGCACTGATGTGGGATTCCCTTCTGTATGCTGTGAATATGTTTTATTACCATATAATAAAGAAGCTGCTTTGGTGTGTGTCAGGGAAGAATATAGCAAGGTGGAAAATCGAAGCAGAGATAGAGAAGGAAAGAAGGTAGAGTCAGAGAGATGCCATGTAGCTGCCCAAGAAGCAAGAGGCAACAAACCATGAGCCTTGTGGTAAAATATAAAATAATAGAAATGGCTTAATTTAAGATGTAAGAGTTACTTAATAAGAAACCTGAGCTAATAGGCCAAAGAGTATGTAATTAATATTAAGCCTCAGAATGGTTATTTCATTAACAGCTGCAGGAGCTAGTGAGCAGGATCAGGTGAGTAGAGAGAAACTGGCCCAGGGCAACCACTGGGACAGAAAATATTTGTACCTACAAGACACTGATCTATGAGTATAGCAGAAAGTTGTTAGGTGTCATTTTATTGTTACAATTTTTTAGTACAAGTAGTATTTGGTTTTACCCCAGGTGCCTGGGTTATCTAGTCTCAGGCTGTAGGTCACTGAAGTAGTGTTAGATATGGGTTCCATCTTATGGAGTCAGATCAGATCTTGATTTGTTACTCTCACCAGCTTTGTACTGTCATTGTTCTAGCGTATCTTGCTGGAATGACACCCTTTGTAAATCAAAGGGTATATTACTGACTTGGTATTTACATTTCATTTTTGCTTGCATGTACTAAAGATGCTAGAACATGCACCAGCTCTACTTCTTTGTGTTCAATGAGTTGTATAGGTGTTGACTTCAGCAATTGAGCCATGCCATCAGTTTGTAGAAAGCAACTCAAGTAGATGTAATCCAATCCCAGGACTGGAAGCTTCATTTGTTGACAAGAAATGACCAGTTGGGGTTCTGTTGTCCCCATTATTTGGCAATTTCCATTAAATAACCTTCATATATGTATACATTTTAGGGAGATTTTACTGTATTGTTTTCATATTACTCCTCAAATGGCCCTTAATGTTAGCTGTCTTTCTCTACATACTTTCTTCCTTCCCTCTCCCCTCTTTATCCTTCAGTTCCAGCCCCTACCCCCAGCCACAACTATTTATTCTATTTCCCTGTCCTAGGAAAATCTCCCTGCCCTGCCATAGTCCATTACTTTATACCTAATATGCTTGGTTCTTTGAATTAGAGCTTGCATATCTGTGGAGACCCAAAGAGGCCAAAGTTTTGGGACGTGTTTTTAGTTCATTCAAGGTTATTGTGCTTCTAACTCAAAGGTCCCACCTAGTTGTAAATCAGAGTTCTGCTCTCTCAAGACTATTGTCAACACAGGTGACTAGTTGTTAGACCTCATGCTCCTGAAATAGGGAAATAGTTGGTTCCTACCTAAAACAAAAGTCTAAGGATCAAACTAAGTTTCAGCTCCCTTTATGGAAATAACTTGGGATTCCACCCAGGGAGTGGTTTGTCTACAGAGTGTTTGGTCTAGGGCATGAGTCTAAAGCATGAGCAATGAATGTAGCCTGTAATTTTCAATTTGTATGTTACTGCAGTCCTTTGTTTTACTCCCGCGTTTTGGGGTCAGGGGTATATTAACCATTTGGAAATTAAACACGGGTGAATTTTCAGTGCTCATTGAAAAATTTCCTCCTGATATTATCTTATATGTTTCTGTGTTTTATTATTTGCATTCGAGTCTTCGTATTCTTTACTATATTTCAAAATTCCCATGCCTCCACTATGGAGAACGGTATTTTTGTCGAGGCTGGCCCCCAACAGATATCATTGACTTAACAGCTAAAATCCACATATATACGAATACACACCATATTTCTATTTCTGGGTCTAAAATGCCTCACTAGGGATTCTTTTTTTGTTCCATCCACTTAGGATTTTTTTAAATGGCTGAGTAATACTACATCATGTAAATGTACCACATTTTCTTTATTCATTCTTCTATTGTAGGACACCTAGATTGTTTTAATTTTCTGACTATTATGAATAGAGCATCAGTGAATATGGTTGAGCAAGTGTCTCTGTGGCATTCTTTGTGTACACACTTGAATGACTTAGCTGGATCTTGAGGTAGACTGATTCACATCTTTCTGAAGAAATGCCACACTGATTTTCATAGTGGCTATACAAGTTTGAACTCCCAATAGGAATGTATGAGTGTTTCTCTTATTCTACATCCTTGCCAGAATGAGCTGTCACTTGTTTTATTGATCTTAGCTGTTCAACTCTAAGTTGCTTTGATTTGTCTTTCCCTAATGGCTACAATGTTGAAACTTTATGCTTTTCTTAGACATTTGAATTTCTTTTCCTTTTCTTTTTTTGGGGATTCTCTGTTTATATCTGCACCCCATTCTTAATTGGGTTGTTTGTTTTCATGATAGCTATGGGGTTCTTTGTGTTGTTCTTTATATATTTTGGATATTATTCTTCTATCAGATGTGTAGTTGGTAAAAATCTTTTACCATAGGCTGCTGCTATGTCTGAATGATGGTATCCTTTGCCTTACAGAAGCTTCTCAGTTTCGTGAGGTCTCATTTATTAATTGTTGATTTTAGTGCCTGTACTAATGATGTTCTGTTCAGAAAGTTGTCTCCTGCACCAATGTGTTCAAGGCTATTCCCCACTTGTTCGTCTATCAGGTTCAGTGTACAGTTTTATGTTGATGACTTTGATCCATTTGGAGTTGTGTGCAGGGTAAGAAGTATGGATCTATTTACATTCTTCTACATTCAGTCATTAAGTTTGACCAGCACCATTGATTGAAGAGATGCTGTCTTTTTTTCAGTATGTATTTCTGATTTCTTTATCAAAATTCAGGTGTTCATAGGTGTGTAGATTTATGTCTGGGTATTTATTTGATTCCACTAATTAACATGTCTGTTTCTATGTCAATACCATTCTGTGTTTGTTACTATTGCAATGGATTAAGTAAAATGTTGCAGATCCCCAAAGTGGCTGCAGTAGCAGAAATGCTGCAGGTAAGTCGTGGCAGTGGCCAGGGAGTCCCGAGAGCAGCCAGTTCCAGGCAGGGACACTGCAGTTCCCAAGTGGCTGCAGTGGGACATGAGGGGCAGCAAGTCCCACAAGGAGAGACAGACAGATGTGCATGCCACAAGAACATGCTGCAGGTCTCTGAATGCAGCTGGTCCTGGGCAGGGAGCCATTCAGTGATGTGGGAATGGTTTCTTATTAATAAAGAAACTGCCTTGGCCCATTTTATTGGATAGAAAATTAGATAGGCGGAGTAGACAGAAGAGAATTCTGGGAAAAAGAAGCTGAATGAGTTAGTCGCCATGATGCTCCCACTCCAGACAGACGCAGGTTAAGATCCTCTCTGGTAAGCCAGCTCATGGGCTACACAAAATATTAGAAATGGGTTAGAACAATATGTAAGAGCTAGCCAATAAGAAACTGGACCTAGCCGGGCCAGACAGTGTTTAAAAGAATACAGTTTCCGTGTAATTATTTCTGGATATAAACTAGCCATGCGGGCGGCCGGGTGCCGGGGACGCAGCCCCGCCGCTCCTATTTCAACAGATGGCGCCCAACGTGGGGCTAAATCCACTTAAAAACCTGAGAAGGCTTAAAAATAAGGGAGAGAGAGTTTAACACAAATTTTTACTGTTTTGTTGGTGGCGTGCTGTAGAGAGATTCCTGATTCAACAACAGCAGCAGAAAAAAAAAAAGCTGCGTCATTTTAAAGCACGGCTTCATAGGGCTGTACTGCCAGCGTAAACTCTGGCTTTAAAGCATTTCAAGGCTTTTATGGGACTGGATGCTTGTGTTCCACTTGGGATCGGAGGAGAGTGCTCTGAGACCGTGCAGATGGCTCAGAGCTCCCCGCCTGCACCTGGGCAGAAGACAGAATCAAGCTTAGGCAGGCGGAAGAGCATGGCGGATTCCTGCCGCTATACAGAGACGCGTTTTCAGACTGCACAGTGCTCTGCATGTCAGATTTGGCTGTAACTTGGATAAAAAGAGTTTCTGTGCTGCACACTCAGTCTCAGAGTTAAACTGCTGAGTGCGGCTCCAATGTGGACTTGCTGTATGCCTAAAACTGTGAATGGTTCAGGGACACCAAATGACTCTGATGTGCTGATCTCAGGCAGGAACTACCGTAATTACCTTAAAACTGCGTAGTTAAGGTTTAGACTGGGCAGGACACAGGCAGTACCGTATTACCTGTACATGGTGCAACTTAAGTTTTTAAGAACTGTTTAACATGTTAAGAAATGCTCCTGGATAGTGAAAAAATTACAGATTCACAATAAAACAGATTCAGACAGACCACTAAATGGATCACAATGTTGGATGAGTGTACGTAGGCTTGAGAGAGAAAAAAAAATATATAGAGAAAGAATAAAGTTAATACCCTTAAAAAAGGGGGTAAAGTCTTTAAAGAGACAGAATACAGAAATACAGATAGTTATAGATTAAAAGAAATAAAGAAAAATAAGCCACGTAAAAATGGAAAATTCACAGAGAGTCTGGATTATGTACATTGTGTTTTCTTTAAAATTTTTGACTGTGAAGGAGCTAAGTACAGAGAGACATTTCATTACATGGGCTGCCAAGCTAAACCAAAATGGATATAAGGGTATTACGATTTCAAAATTTGGGTCTAAGGATATGATGCTTTGGAGAGGGTCTTCTTTTGTTTTTGCAGAGGATGAGACCCTGTGGATTGCATCTATTCCGATTTGGTATGATAGACCACGCCCTCCTGAAAGGTTGCTGTGAACACCCTCAAAAAATTGCTTCGCTCAATTGCCAACTGAGATGAAACTAGCACACAGGTTATATCATGAACGACCTAATTAACGACGCCCCTATTCAGCAGGAAGCAGTTTGGAGAGAAAAAACTACGCCCATGTTCCCAAATATTGTTTATAAATGTTCTTTTACATTTAAAGGGGGATATGATATAGATATGAATAATTTGCATTGGTATGGATTTTAAGGTCAATTTTGTTATATGTATATGTATTTTTGATCTTGATTAAGGTATTGTGATTGTGTAGTTCATTTAAAAATGTAATGTATAATTAGGAAATATAGGTTGTTAATGGATAATCATCGCTAATAGTTAAGCTTGTAGTCATGTTAATTAGATTTTCTAGATATATAGAGATATATTTCAGTTAGATAGGCATTCTTCATATCTTTCAAAGACTGCAGAATATGGCATTTAAAATATTTTAATAACTTAGGACTTTTCATGACAAGGAGACACGTCTGCTCCTGGCAGCACCAGCTACTTCAAGAGGAAGATGGGCATCGAAGAGGATCCTTATGGAGTTGGATAGTCATTTGGGCAAGAAACTGCTCTTGCCTGGACTGTTGCATAAACTGGACACAGAGAACCCTCAGAGAGAGGACTGCTGAACTTGCCTAAAGGTGAGATGGTCTTTCGGGGTTCCTGATTCATGAAAGAGTCTGCGAGACATTCTGCAGGACACAGCAGAAAATGACTGAACTGTCTTTGAAATTTCCTGCTTCATGGAAATGTATCTGGATACCATGGGCCTGTAGGCCGAAGATGGATGCCCCAACGGTACCAAAGAACTTTGGGTGACTGTCCAGGCAGCGAGATGTCTCTGTCATTTCTAGAGTTTTCTTACTCAAGTATTATTATATCCTTCTGGAGTCTTTGATGGAGTTGAAGAATGAATAGTTATAATTTTCCTTAGTTATGATAAGAGATAAAATAGATATAAATATTGTAACTGTAATTCTTACTTGATAACTGTTTTGTTATATGTAATTTTACTATGTTAAAGTTAAAGCCTTTCTTTTTTGTTTAAACAGAAAAAGGGGAAATGATGTGGGAATGGTTTCTTATTAATAAAGAAACTGCCTTGGCCCATTTTATTGGATAGAAAATTAGATAGGCGGAGTAGACAGTTTACTTATATGGCGAATTACATTTATTGATTTACTTATGTTGCACCACCCCTGAATCTCTGGGAATTATATTTTTGATGTGTTCTTGAACTTAGCTATTTTATTGAGAATTTTTACAACTATGTTAATAAGGGAAATTGGTCTATAATTTTCTTTCAATTTTGGGCTTTTATGTGGTTTTGGTATCAGGATAACTGTGGCCTCATAAAACAAATTTGGTAGTGTTCCTTCTGTTCCCACTTTGTGAGATAATTTGAAGTCAGTTTTGGAAAAAGTTCCATGAGGTGCTGAGAAGTTATATTCTGTTATGTTTGAGTGAAATGTTGTAACTATCAGATAGGTCCATTTGATTTATAACTTCAGTTAGTTCCAGAATTTCTCTGTTTAGTTTTTGTCTGGATGGCCTATTAATAAGAGTGGGTCATTGATGCCTTCCACTAATCAGTGTGTGAGGGTAAATATTGTGATTTAAGCTGCACCAGTGTTTTTAATATTTTATGAAGTTATATGCCCTAGCCTAGTATTTTGTTCATAGATGTTAAGAATTGCAATGTCCTCTTGGTGGATTTTTTTCTTTAGCCAGTATATATTGTCCTTCCCTATCTCTTCTGATTAGTTTTGGTTTGAAATCTATTTTGTCAGATATTAAAATGGCTACCCAAGATTGCTTATGAGGTCCATCTGCTTGGAATATCTTTTTCCATCTTTTTACCCTGAGGTGATATCTTGCTGTTAAAGTGTGTTTCCTGGATGTAACAAAAGGATGGATACTGTTTTGGCATTCATTCTGCTAGTCTGTGTGTTTTTATTGAGGAATTGAGACCACTGATATTGAGCAATATCAATGGTCAATGACTGTTGATTCCTATTATTTTGTTGTTGTTGTTGTTGGTGGTGGTGGTGGTGGTGGTGTGTGTGTGTTCCCTTGATTTACTGGTAAGGTATCATTTATTTTTTGTTTTCTTGGGTGTGGTTAACTTCTTCAGGTTAGTATTATCCACCTAATACCTTCTGTAAGGCTATATTTTAGATAGATATTGGTTAAATTTGATTTTAGCATGCAATATTTTATTTTCTTCATCTATTGTGATTGAAAGTTTTGCAATGTATAGCATTCTGGAATGGCATCTATGGTCTCTTAGAATCTGCAGGACATCTGTCCAGGCCCTTCTGGCTTTTAGAGTCTCCATTGAGAAGCTGGGTGTAATTCTAAGAGTGCTGCCTTTATATGTTGTTTGCTCTTTTTCTCTTGCAGTTTTTAATATCTTTTTTGTTCTGTGTGCTTAATGTTTAGATTATTATATAGAGGGGGTTTTATTTTCTGGTCCAATTTATTTGGTGTTCCATATACTTGTATCATGATAGGCTTCTTCTTTAGGTTAGGGAAATTTTATTCTATGATTTTTTGAAAACATTTTCTGGATCTTTGATCTGGGTTTCTTTTCTTTCCACTATTCCTATTAATCTTAGATTTGGTCTTTTTATGGTGTCCCAGATTTCCTGATTTTTGTTGTGATTTAACATTTTCTTTGATCAAGGTATACATTTTTTCTATCCTGTCTTCAGTGCCTGAGAGTCTTGCTTCACTCTCTTGTATTCTGTTGGTGAAGCTTGCCTCTCAGGTTCCCATTCAAATTCCTAAATTTTTCATTTCCAGTTTCCTCTCAGTTTTGTTTTTTTTTTTTCTTCACTAATTTGGGTTGTCTTTATTGATTCTATTTCTACTTTCAGGTCTTGAACTTTTTAAGTAATATCTTTCCACTGTTTGTGCTTTCATATATTTCTTTAGGGGGTTAATTTATTTTTCTCTTTATGGATCTCTATCATCATATTCATCAAGGCTCCTGCTATGTTGCAATACTCAGGTCCTGCTGTGGTAGGGTTACTGGACTCTAGTGGATACATATTATCCTGGCTGTTATTGGTTGTGTTTGTTACGTTGGAGTCTAGGCACCTGTGTTTTGCAAGATTGTAATTCTAGGTACTGATGTAAGGTCTTTTCTTTGCTGGGTGGGTTCTTTCGTTTCTGTTGCCTTCTTTGGCTCTTAGAAGATTGTGGTAGCTGTGTACTGCCTGATAGGAAATTCTGGAATTCTGTGATGGTTTGAATAAGAATACTGCCCCCCCCCCATAGGCTCATCTATTTGAATGCTTAGTCACCAGGAGGTGAAACTTTTTTTAAAGGATTAGAAAGATTAGAATATGTGGACTTGTTGGAGGAAGTGTATTTCTGGGGGAGTGTTTCGAGGTTTTTAAAAGCCCATCCCAGACCAGTGTTCCTCTCTGTCTACAAATTAGGGATGTAGCTGTTAGCTACTGATCCAGAACCTGCCTGCTTGCTGCCATGATGATAATGGACTAATAGCCCTTTGAAACTGTAATCAAGCCCCCAGTTAAATGCTTTCTTTCAAATAAATTGCCTGGTTATGGTGTCTCTTCACAGCAATAGAACTGGGACTAAGACAGATCTTGAGAGGTGTGGCCGCTGAGGTTTCTAGGTAAAAAATGTGTTTCTAGGTATTGGGAGATGATACATAAGAATGACAATGGGCTCAGAACTGAGAGCATTGAGTGTTTCTGCAGGAGGGAGTCAATTAGAATGTCCACCAGGATCAGGTTAGTACCCTGGGAATGAGGGTAGAAAGTAAGGAGAAGCAGCAGTACATGGTCAGCTACAGAGCTGGGGATGAGACTGGCAGACTAGACTTAGAGGAATGGAGAGAGAGGTGAAGATTTGCACTTAGCTTACCTGCTTCACTGGCTGGAATCTCTTCCTATATGTTTTACCATATAATATTTTATTAATTCTTTGAAAATGTTATACAACATGTCTTGATCATATTTACCCTTTCCTCCTCCCCTACAATTCCTTCCATAATCTCCTCCTTCTCTTTATCCCCCCACACTTCATATTCTGTTCGTTCATATTTTGTTTTGTTTCTTAGAGGTGACTGTCTTGAAACAGATGGCCCAGGATATAAGTGCAACTATTGCTCCTTTTGAATATCTTGCCTTGCTGGTCTCTGTGGTTCTTAGGACTAAATAGGACTGCTGATTGCTTTTCTCTGGTGGAGCTCGTATAAGTGCTTCCTATACTATGAGAACTATTTCTCAGCGAGGAAGTTTCCAGGTCATCTCTAAATCACTTTCTCCAGTCCCACTTCTCATGGCTATCATGTTTGATGTCTATAATGGCCAGGCCAGACTGTAACAAGGCCATCATGTACTTAATGAGTCCGATTCATTCCAAAACTCTGCTAAAGCTGTTGTGGGGTTTTCAGCCAAGGTTCTGGCTATGACAAGGTCTTTGGAACTAGGCTCTGGACAGGTCAAGAGGATGACCAAGAGGACTACATCTTTGTCTCTACTAGCAGTTCAGTTGGTAGGCATTGCACTCAAGAGGTGTAGTTTGAGCTACCAGTACCCGTCATCTGTGCCTTCTTGTAAATCATCTAGTCCAATAACACTGTCTGCTCCCTCCCATTCCCTCTCTCCCCAGGTGGAAAAAACCTGGGTTTCCTGCATAGGAGGCAGTGTATAAACTGAGCTATGACTCCAGAGGCTCCCTCCCACCTCAGAGATAATTGTGGTGTGCGATCATTGTATTTTTAATATTTCCACTACTGGGCTTGGAGTTTTTGGAAGGAAACACCAGAAGTTAATTACATTCTGTTTTGACATATTTTTCTCCCCAAGTGAGCCAAGAGCCACATTATTTGCTTAAAAAGAAAATGAGGAAAGCAAAACCATACCAGAAAATATGAATTTTATGTTAAAAAATAATTTCCTTGCTACGAAGGAGATTAATGCATAAGAGTGGCTACACAAATGTTACTGGTGGGAAAGGGAAAGGTTCAATATGGTTTCTTCTGACAAAAAAAAGTAGAAAATAATGGCACTTTCGGGAAAGGGGTGTAGGAGTAACCTAGTTGGTAAAGAGCAGAGAATTTGAAATAGTACTGGTGACTTGAATTTTGAAACTGACTTGATGAATATGGGATTCCAGAGGCTATCTGATGGTGTTAAATTTCTCTTGATGCCAATATATCCTTTATGGAAACTTTTGGTGCCTGTGAGTCCAGACAGAGCCAAAAGCAGGTTTTGGGGGGATAGTGGCTTTTCTAGACTAGTAATGAAATGACAAAGGGCAAGGGGATTTAGTTTATTCACACAAGGGTCATTAAAATAATGACCCAGATCTTGTGCCATGACTCAGTGAGGGCGCCTGGCCAGAGCTGATCCTAGCAACCTGAGTTCAGTCCTCCGTTCCCAGGATCCACAAACTCCTCCGGGTTGTCCCCTGACTTCCATATGCACCTGCACACATACAAATACAAAATTTAAAATTAAAAAAGAGAAACCCAGAGTCTTTTAACTGAACAGGAAGATTTGAGACCAAAGTAAATAGTTCCGAAATAAAGAATATATATATATTATATATGTGTGTGTATATATACGTATGTATATATATATACTTATACATACACAAGAGGCTGGAAATGAGAGAATTGTGGACAGAAAGCAGCTACTGAGTCAGGTTTGACAAATGAGGAAGGTTTGGTGAAGAGAAGACAGATATTTACAGGTGTTCTCATTTCCCACTCTGAACACTTGCCCTTGGTGGAGAGAAGTCCATTCGCTTTCAATCTTTTAATCTTTCCAGGCCTTATCAAGGTAGGTGAGAGACAACTCTGCCTGCCCTGTTCTCCACCCAGCTGAAACCGAGGAAAACAACATTTGTTCAGTTCTCTTTTAAATTTTAATTTTAAGCTTAATCTGCCTCTTGGATTTCCTGTTACCTTTTCATCTGCCATTTGGCACACGTCTCTATGTGTTCTTTTAAACACCCATTTCTTGGGAAAATTCACCATTTTGCCACTCTGGTTCTGCAAATATCCTTGTATACATGTGGATTAAACTGTAGCATCAACCCCTAAGGGCTGGAACTTTAGGATAACTGGC